GGCTCCCGCGAGGCCCAGCGGAGGTGGGTCCCACGCGGACCACCTCGGGACCTCGCCGCCCCTTGGGGGGCTTGCGACCTGTGCAATTGTTGCCACTGTCGTGGTCTCCTGGGAGGCCCAGCGGAGGTGGGTCCAACGCGGATCACTTCGGGACCTCGCCGCCCCCTGGGGGGGCTTGCAATATGCGCAACTGTCGCCATTTTCGTGGGCTCCTGGGAGGCCCAGCGGAGGTGGGTCCCACGCGGACCACCTCGGGACCTCGCCGCCCCCTGGGGGGCTTGCGGTTTGCGCAAGTGTCGCCACTTTCGTGGGCTCCCGGGAGGCCCAGCGGAGGTGGGTCCCACGCGGACCACCTCGGGACCTCGCCGCCCCTCGGGGGGGCTTTGCGATCTGCGCAAGTGCCGCCACTGACGTAGGCTCCTGGGAGGCCCAGCGGAGGTGGGTCCCACGCGGACCACCTCGGGACCTCGCCGCCCCCTGGGTGGCTTGCGATCTGCGTAATTGTCGCCACTTTCGTGGGCTCCTGGGAGGCCCAGCGGTGGTACGTCCCATTTGGATCATTCGGAGGTACGTCATACGCGTTTCTTTCAACGACCCTGTGCTTCCATTTTGTGTAGTTGCCGTTCCTCTTCTTGCTGCGCTCTTCTGAAATCACTGTTGGGTGCTCTTCTTGCGCAGTGCGGGTCCTTCAGAATGCCAGTCAGCCAGCATTGAGTGGTCCTGAGTATAATCGCCACATGTATAGAAAGGGTTGGGTAAGGGTAATCTCAACACGCGGCCCCCGGACGCCCCGACCCCCCCCCGGACCGGTCTTTCGTCCGGAGTCGTTTTTGTCGCGGTCCCGAGGGCCCCTAGGGAGCGAAATTTGCGAAACAAATCCGCTTTGATTTTTTCAATGCGTTGGACCTCTGGGCATCGCGGGCGTTTGGCCGGAGCGAGCGCGCGGCGCCCTGTGCCGGCCCTCGCGGCTATCTTTGTGGAGGACGATCAATGGAGAGGAAGCATGCTGCCAAATCACTTCCAGATATGTTAAACATGTTTTAAGCATGTAAAACACGTGTTCAAAGCATGTTTAGAACATGTTTCCGACTTTTCCACAGTACAGTTTAAATTCAATGGTAGGACTGTTAGGGTGTCCATTATCGTGGCATCCGCAACGCTTGGCCCGAGCGAGCGCGTGGCGCCCCGTTCCGGCCCTCGCGGTGACCTCTCGGGCCGCCGGGCGGCGCCGCGCCGAGGCCCGGACCGCGCCCGGGCTTTCTTCTGGCGCATCGCGTATCGGAAGACGCACACGACCGCTGCGCCCAGCGAGTGGCCGCGGCGGCGCCGGATGGCAGCCTTGACCTTGAGCGCGGCCATCCCAGAGATCCACCGCATTGAAAAAATCAAGGCGGAGGTTTTTCGCAAATTTCGGCCCCTAGGGGCCCTCGCTGGGCCTCGGGACCGTGAGAAAACGACTCAGGACGAAAAAACGGTCCAGGGGAAGGGGTCGAGACGTTCGGGGACCGAGCATTGAAAAGTCACGACATCGGATCTCTGGGGCCGAAGGGCAGCCTTGACCTTGAGCGCGGCCATCGCCGCGGCGCGACGCGAGCTCGGCGCGGCGGCAGGCTGTCGTCGCAAGCCCCGCCTGCAGCGGTCTCGCGCAGACGCCGCTGCCCAGGCGCTGTTCCTGGAAGGCTTCCACTCCGCCATTCGCCGCCGTCTTCGGGGTTGGTGTTCGGGCCAGGCCGTCCCTGCTGACCGCCGCCAGAGGTGGCTTGGCCTCGAAGCCCAGCTCGGGTTCGCTGTCCCGGGCACGCGGCGGTCGACGCTGCGCGCCCTCGCCGGCGCCTGGCCGACGCCCTGCCGGATGCGCGCGGGCCCGCCCCGCCTTGCGCGCCGTTGGCGCTGCGAGGGCGGCGCGGATTAGATTTCGCACTGCTTGCAGTGCCGTGGTGCGTGGTAGCGCGCGCGTCTGCGCCTCCTCGCGCACCACCGCCCGCGCGCGCCAGCAGCGCCGGCTCGGCCTGGGCTCGGCGGAGGACTGCGCCGCAGGCCCGCGGGGCGAGCATGGCGTTCCCAGAGCCGCTGCCCGCACTGTCGGGGGTGGACAGACCTCCTACCCTGACGCGTCGATTGAGGAATTGGCCGTCGCCGGTTCGCGAGAGGGCGTCGCGGCCGTCGCTTTTGCGGCTCCAGGGCCGTCGAATTCGGTCCCAGGCCGTTTTCACTGAGGGGAGGTTTACGAAGGGGAGGTTTGTCCACCGCCGACACTGCGACCCTGCACCGCACGCGCAACCCCATGCGGCACCGCCCCGGCCCGATGCAGGCCGGCCCGGAGGCGCCCTCGGCGCCGGCGCGCGCCGTTGCCCGCCGCGCGCGGGCACCTTCGACTACACGTAAGAGTGACCCTTCGCCGGAGTGACCTGTGGTGCTGGCCCAAAGGGGGTCGTGTGATTTTTCTCGTAATGAGCTCGACCTCGCGCCGGCACTCGCATCGCGCGATTACACTCGCATCTGAGCGCGCCAGGTTTGGGCCCACCCTTTGCAATCGACAGCAACGCATACGCGTCGCACCCTACAGCTTGCGTTGGTTACCCGGGGGGGGAGCCCGTCGACCAGACGGCGCGTTTTCGGGTCCAGGACCAGTCCCGAATTTCAGCCTAAATCCGAAAACGGTTGGCTTTCATGTCGTTGGATATCTTTGAATATCTTTGGATATCTTTAAATATTCTTGAATGTCTTCGAATATGTTGTTTTTATCACTTGGCATCTTTACTCTAAGAGTTATCCAAATATACTCAAGCATAATATTCCTCGCTCTCGGATGGGGCCAGTTTTGGCCATGACGCCGGGCCTGGTCAGTTGTCATCGCGATGAAGCCCAGCAGTGCCAGACCTCCTCGCGGTGGCCCCCAGCAGCGTCTGCTATTGCAGCGCCTTCGAAGTGCCATTCGGGGTGCTCGACTTAAATCGGCGGACTTCCGCGGTTGCCCGCTGGCACAACGAATCTTTCGGGTGGCGCCCCGCCGATCGTTGACGCGGCGCGGCAACGCCAGCTTGCGCGATTGCGCCGGGCCCCCTTGGGCGCCCCTGAAACCGCGCACCAAAAGTCACTCCAGCCCAGGGTCACTCCTACGCGTAGTCGACACCTCCGCTCTGCGGGGCGCTGCAGCCACCAGGAGCGGTGATCTAATTATGCGCGGGCGGCCCGGAGGCGCCTGGAAGTCGCCGTCCCCGGGTGCCATCCTCCCTCTGCAAGCCGGCGAAGTGACGGGGTGGAGCCCTGGCGCGGCGGGCGGCTCGTGCCGGGACTCGCCCCGGCGCGCCGTTTTTTTCTCCCTCCTCGGAGGCGGTTTCCTTCTTCGGAGGCGGCTTCCTAAGAGGCGTTATTTCTGCACTCGCTGGCGCTGAGGCCCTGGCAGACCAGGTGCGCGTCTAGGCGAGCGGACCTCCCGGAGGAGCCGCGGGCGCTCCTCCACCTCGTCATCCGCCTCCTCCCTTGTCCTGTGATCCTTCGTCTCGTCGCCAGCGCAGGCGTCATGAGTGGCCTTTGCCTTCTCCGACCCACGCCTCGTCACTCGCACTGACTGTGGGCGTTTTCTCAGGGCCCCGATCCGCACAGAAAAAGAGCAATGCATCTTCCCCCTGCATCTCGGCCACCCGAGAAATCGCGAGAGATTGTGGCCCTGGCTGCGCATGGCGATAGCTTGTGGCCCGATACGGAGATTGAGGCACCGAAGCCCTCCCTGCCTCGTAGACTGCGAATCCAAGGCTCCAGCAGCAGTCAAGACCCCCGACAGGGCGGGTGGGCCCAGAAGTCCAGGTCCTGGGTCAAGCAGGAATCGTCACATTTGCGCGCCAAGGGCTTATTTTTCAACGGTGGAATGAACTATTCTGCGCAGCGTTTTCTACGTGGTGCGTTTTTCATCGCATTGCTTTCTACGTCGTATGCTCCAAGTAGGTGTTTACGTCATGTGACATGTACCACGTCTGCGTGTTACGTGGCATGTTTCACGGAGTGCGCTCCACGTAGCGTCATCTACACATGTGGTTGTTCTTCGTGCATGTGTATTCGACGGGGTGTGTCCCACGTGCTTGTTTCTTCTAGGACGGGCCACTGCCCTCGCCGGGCGGGCCTATGGGATCAGTTATAACGTCGCTGCAGAGCATTCCGGGGCGCTCTGAGACGGTCGCGGCTCCGCATCTTCCAGGCCCGCCAGCTCACAAGCGTTCCCGGCGCGCCCCCCGTTCCCAGGCGATGTGTTGTTTTGTTTGTCCGAATTTTTTGGGTCCACGCCGAAACAAGACTCAGGTCGGAAAACAACACACAGACACAGTTAATCGTCGATTCCCCAGAAAATATGGGAACATATGGGAAGTGGGTGGGAAGACAATAATCCCGAACATAACAGAAATTTGGGGAATTATGTTATTTGTGTGTATTCATTTGTGTGTCCCAGTGCCCCTTGAAAGACATCATTGCACGGTCCAGATGTACCATTCCTCCCATGAGTGAGGCTCACTGACATTATCAGTGACCGTCGTGCTTTCTGCCACGGTTGTCCATGCATCCAGACTTCATGCAATTTGGGCAGGGTAGGATGAGTGAAGGATTGGCTGGATGACGGGATGGGCAAGGGTATGCCAGCCGTGACGAATCATGAAGTCCGATACGCTTTTTGGAGAAGCAGCAAACATACTTGTTCACCTTCATCCCCCCAAGAAGCAAAAATGATTAGCCAATCTGCGAAACCTGGGGGTGCACCCCTGGGGGTGTATTCGGACGCGCCCCTATCGAGGATTAGCGCACAGTCCCCCATCGCATAATTATCGCGAGGTCGGCAGCCCAAGAGTCGGGAGTCTGGGGTCGCGATGCCTTCCTTTACTCGCTCTGACTTGCCCTGAGCCGGCACTCATCTTGCCAAGCCATCACCGCACCTCGCCTGACCGTGGAAGGCTCCCATGGCCTGGCGCAGTGCGATTTCGCACAGCCCCGCCCGCGCCGCGTCGGCGCAGGCTCCTGGTTGCCAGCCAGTCCAACCGGAAGAGCTGCGCACAGGCCAGCCGTGCCGCGCTGTGCTGCGCGGGGCCGTCGCCGTCACTGTCGTCAGGTTGCCTTCAGGTCGGGGGGGGCATCCGTGTGGGGGGAGGTGGAGGGAGCCAGGAGGGTGGGTGGAGGAAGGCGAGGTGCCAATGCCCTTTGGGAGTTCCAAAGCGGCCCCTAACACCCACCCGAGAACCCTCCCCAAGGAGCAAGGATACGTTGTTATGCACTTTCCTGCTACCCTCTCTTGAGCCCTGCTAGATCCTTTTGCCCCTCTCTCCTCCTACCAGCGGGCAGGCGGCATCGCCGCCGTGGCCGTTTGCGGTGTAAGCGCCAGCGGGGGCTTCCGTTTCCTTCCCTCTCTTCCATCCCTCCGCTCATGTTTCTTCCCGTTCTCTTGCCCTCCCCGCTTATCCATGACTGCTTCCCTCTCTTCGATCTGTGCGTGTGCAAGTGTCAAGTGCCCAAGACGTGGAGGGGGAAGAGAGCAGGACGATGAGGAGGATGAGTATGGGGATGAGAGGGGAGAGGAGAAGGATAGGAGGGCGGCAATAGACGACTTGGACTACGAGATGGATCGTAGGGCTTAGGATCGGCATGAAACAGTCACCTTGGACTAGAACCGCCCCAAGCAAGCCTGCCGTGCTGGCGACCTTCGAGCCAACATCCGGGATGCACAGCATGTTGGCTCGCGACTCACCCTTCCGACGGGGGGCCGCTCGGCACCACGGCTCCGCGGTGCCGGTGGATGCCCTCGTGCTCCGAGCCTTCGTTGTCCATAGGGGCCTGCGCCGCTCCCCGCCCCCGAAACAAGACAAGAGAGGAGCGGTCGGCATCCTGCTGGGGGGAGGGGGGGGAAGGGGAGGGGCTTAGGAAGAGATGGCAGGAGGAAGGGTGGAGGGTGGCGAAACGGCACGTGGTGCCAGAAAGCGCCCCGAAGCATCGTGCGCCCTTCTCCTCCTCCTCCTGCCTCCTCCTCCTCCTCCTCCTCCTCCTCCTCGATATCCGATTCTTTCCGATTCCGGGGGCGGCAAAGAGGGGGGTGAGGACCACGGTCGGGTGGAGATCATGGCGGGGGCCATGAGATTTCCCCAGATTTCATGGAGCCTCTTCTTGTTTCATTACGTCCCTGGGCCCCCCCGCTGGGCCGCGCACATGCCGCTGGTCATGATTTGCACCCCCCTCTCTTTTACACCCCCCTCTTGGCCGCTCCCGACGATTTGGGGCCTGACGTGGGGGGGCGCTCGGAAGCCTGGGCACGCCGCTTGTGCCACAGGCGCTCGGCAGCAAGTTCATCAAGTCGTGCCCAGACCAGGACGTCGAGAAACAGAAGGCTCCCGTCCCCCAGTCCTCGCTTCTCGTCCATCCTCCCTCGACGACGTCGAGTCCCTGGCGACGTCGTCGTCGTTTCGGAGTTGATGCGGTGTTTCTCAAGATTCTCGTCGCCACGGCTGGGTGCAGCTCGAAAAAAGCCCCGATGGACTACCACTTGGCACAGATCCTTAGGCTTTTGCAGGGAATATTTTTGTCTTGACGTTTAAAGACGAATGGTGTTTGTTCATTTTCGCGCCCAGTCCAGGACGTCGAGAGTCAGAAAGCGCCCGTCCCTCGGTCTTTGTTGGCATCCCTCGCCGGACCTTGGGACCATCAAACAACGATTTGGGATGAAACAGCTGCCCTGGGGACAGGGTTGGGACTCCCAGGGACCCTGCATTGAACAACGAACGACATCGCAAGTTCCAGCTCGCCAGTGGAAAGAATGACGATGGGAATACAGTCGTACCGAGGTGTAAGACCGAGGTCGGTTCGGGGAGGGTACCCTAGTGTTCTTCCTGTTGGTTGGATGTCCTTGTGCATCCTGGGGGAGGATACCTTTGGATGTTCTGTGTGTTTTGGCTGGCGGAGGGTCTCATGTTCTTGAGGGATGTTCTTCTTGCCTAGGTCCGACTGTAGTCTCATGTAAGACCTGGGCGTTGCATCTGCTCCACACCAGGCGGTTCTCCCCCTTCCTTCGGGCCCAGGCTCCGGGCTCCGGGCTCGTGAGAGTCGTCAGAAGTCTGCAGTTGTTCGTGGCGTCGGATTTCGGAGACGTCGGGACACAGCAGGCGCCCTCCCCTTTTGGTCTTCGCTGGCATTGGCCAGAGCAACAACGGCAGAGACAGAGTTCTTCGGAGCTCTGCGCGGAGCTCCATCCATTTTGATGGACGCGGTTGTTTTTGTCCTCCCCGACGCCGTCGCGTCGTGGCATGATCACAACGCACGGGTGTTTGTCTGTTTTCGGCCTCCTGATGCCACTACGGGGCCCCATGACTGCCAAGAGACGACTCTGGATGACACGCCAGTCGCCGGATGGTGGGAGGTCCCGACCTCTTGGGAGCCACGTGGAGAAGCAGTCACGACGTCGGATGTCTGTTCCTGAGGGGCTCGCCAGCACCCCTTCGCCCATGGCCCGCAAGTCCCGGGAGCAGCGAGGCGGGTCCCCAGAGGTCGAACCGAAGCAGACAAGGCACGGGCCCGCACAGCTCTGAGACGTCTCGGATGTATGGCACCCCCGCTCTTGCCGGTCACGTGCCCCCAGATTTCAGTGGGCCTTTGGAGACGGCAGCGCCGTTTTCACCCGTTACGTGTTTCTGTTTTTTCTTGTGTCGCTTCGTTCTCCGTTTGTGCGTCTGGTTCTGGCGACAGATCTGTTCCGCCTCAAGTTCCGATTGCCGATTGCGTTTTTTGCTCAGTTTCGAAAAGTTGATTGTTGTGCAGTTCGGTGAGATTTTTTCCCGCGGTGACAGTCCCAAGCGCTAGACTTGCGGAACCAGCACAAGAAAAATGCACTGCCGTTTCTGAGGCCTGGAATCGGGTTGCTGAAATAAGGAACGCTAAATGAGGAATGCAGCCCCTGCTCGGCACCATGAAAGCAGGGGTGCACGAGGAGGGCTAGAGGAACAACCGCGGAATGACCTAAGGGACGGTTAGCCCCTCTCGAACCCAAAGCGTTCTTTATTTCAGCGTCTTGGCTGCACTGCGCCCCAGACCTAGCGGCCCCTTCCCGCGGGGCTGGCTTGTTGGTGCACTCATCTGGTGCCGCTCCCAGACCCCCGATGTGTTTTTTCTCGGGGGCCTGGTAGGGGCCCCCAGAGGCCGAACGTAGCGAAACGAATCCCGTCGAGTTGTTTGTTTTTGCAGCGCGGCCTACGTCTTCAGATCCCTTCAGGGCAGCAGAGGTCTGGGCCAGGTCGGTGGCCACATGCGAGCCCTGCCCCCACCCCCCACGATTTCTAAGGAGGGGTGGGGGTCACTTCGTTCGGGAGCTCCCGAGCGGAGAGAACTCCCACCCCCCAGTTAGAACTCATGAGTGGGGGTAGGGCTTACACGTGACCACCGTCCGGGACTCCAGACACAGACTTCCGGCGTTCGTGCAGGAAACATAAGAGTCGGAACAAGCATACAGTCGAGATGCTGAAGTGGGACCGCCTTGGGTGCAGGAGGGGCTTCGCTTTTCGAGCCGTTCCTCAAGCCAGGGTCGGGGAGCGATTCTGGCGGAAAGATCGGATTCTTCCACGCGCTCACACACTAACACACACCCACACCCAGAAGGTGGGCGGGGAGGGCCATGGGCGCGTTTCTGTCGGACAGGGAGTCCCCGCTCGAGCGGGAGCCCCCCCCCCCATTGGGGTCCGACGGCCCGCACCCGATCCCACAGCCAGTCCTCCTCCCTCTGGCCCCCCCATGGGCATCAGTGTGTGTGTGCCGTCGTTCGTCACCTTCGTTCGCCGAGCTCGTTCCACTACTCGCAAGGCGCCTACTCGCAAACGTCCGAACAGCACATGTCTGCCTTGATGTAGGTTATCGTAGATCCCCCGCGGGGGATCCAGGCCATGTGCGAGGCGAGTAGTGGAACCTGCTCGTCTAGTCGTGGCCGAGGCTCGCCGTTGCCCGAGAAGCCCCCTCGTTACTTTTGTTTGGGGGGTCCTCGTGGTACATGCAGGCCGAGGTCTAAGATCGAGGTCGGTTCGGGGAGGGTCTACCCTCGCGTTCGTCGTGTTCGTCGTTCTGAGGCTGCGCCCCCCTTTTCTTTCCCCATCCCTGCCTAATTCAAGCTTCGCGCGGCCCGCTTAGTTTTGACCGGAAGAGGTGCGCTCTCGACCCGCGAATCAAAAAAGTGTTCGTCGTGTTCGGTTGGACGTTCTTTGCATCCCGGGAGAGGGGCACCCTTGGATGTCCCGTGCGCTGTGGCCGGCGGAGGTCCCAATGTTCTCGAGGAGGTGTTCTTCAGGAGGGGAAGAATCCCACAGACACAAGTAATCGTCGATCCCCAGGAAAATCTAGGAAAATACTCATTGGAAGTGGGGGGAAGACAAAAACCCAGAGAATATGGGAAACTATGGGGAGTCTTTTTATTTGTGTGTATTTATTTAATCGCTTCGCTCATTCCGCCGGCCCTGGAGCGCTATTTGGGGCCTCTTGGGGCCTTCTTGGGGGCTTCTTGGGGGCTTCTTGGGAGCGTCTTGGGGCTCCTTGGTGGCGTATTGGGCTCCACTGGGGCCTCTTGGGGGGCTCTTGGGGGCCCCTTGGGACGGGAGGGGGGGTAGTCGTTGGCGGTCCCCCCCTCGGAGGCCACGATCCTCGTAAGGGGTGGCGAAAAGTAGCCTCCCCCCTGCAGGATCGCCCGGGGATCAGCCGGGGATCGGCCGGGGTACTTTCCGTCCGGGGCCCCCCAGGGGCCGCCCCGCGCGCGCGATTTAGAAATATTGTTAAGTAGTTACCAGAGATCTTACTTAGCACGCCTCTGGCCCGTTGGGCCAGGGAATTTGTGTGTCCCAGGGCCCCTTCAGTTCTTCTGGCCCAGGTCCGATTGTAGCACGATGAGTGTAAATATTCGGAGCTCCGAGTGAATTTCTTGGGGCTGACCCCCCCCCCCCCTGGCGACGTCCGTCCCCGTCACCGGCCCCCGGCGGCGCTCCGGAAGCTCCGCCCCTCCGAGAGGTTCTAATTTCATGCAATTGTGTGCCCGTCTTAGTCTGGGGGAGATCGCTCGGCTGCCTCCACCTCTCCACGGACCCAAGCTGCCGCTGACCAGACGTCCTGGAGTTGTGAGGTTCCGACCTGCTTCAGCCTGGATCACCGGAAAGAGGTTCGAGCACCGGGGAAGTGCCCCCTTTTGGAAGGATTTCACGTATCGGACCTTGCGGGGGCGATGCTCATTCGACTTTTCGCTCGCGTGTCGGGCAGAGACTTTCGATACGTTTCCCAACAAAACTATTCAGCCATGCTCATTCGACTTTTCGCTCGCGTGTCGGGCAGAGACTGTTTCGATACGTTTCCCAACACAACTATTCAGCCACGCGCAGAGCGGGGGGTGGAGGCAGGGGCGAGGGCTTCTTAGAACCAGCCCCCTCCTAAGAGGCCTTGCGCTCTCACTCCACCCCCGCGTGCGAGCCGCGGCTTTGATTCGACTTTCCACGGACAGAACAGTACGGAGGATACCCAGACGGAGCCGACCAGGCGGGTCGCCATGACGGAAAGGGGCCGTGATCGGGCGGGCGGTAGCGTTGAGGCCATACAGGGGGGCCGATCGAGGATTGCAGGACATGGGTTCCCCACTCCCCACGGCTCCCAAGTTGACACCGCGGGCCCAGCATGTCCGCGAAAAGTGGACGTTTTTTTCACCTCAAGTTGCGGGCGTTCCCCCAGCACCGGCTCTCCATCCCCACTCTTGACGGTCCCGGGGCCCGTGGAGGGCCTTCGAGGCCCGAAATTTCAGGGACCCCTTTCCTCCTGGAACCGTTTCCTTTTCCTTCTTGTGAGCCGGTCTGGTGGGCGTCGATCTGTCACACTGGGGAGTGGCGCGTACACCAGGAGCGTATACAGAAAGAGAGTCCGCGCTCTCCAGCGCACGAGTTATGCTTCTTCGCTCCGCGCGTTGCGCGGTGACTTCCAGCGGCCGTTGAAGAAAGCTGCTGTGTGCACGGCTCTTTGGGTCACCCCTCCCGCGTGCATCTCGCGCGCGGGTCTTCGGGGCTGTACAAGACACATGTCTCTCCATCGGGGGCAACTGCCCCAGGGCGGCTGGAAAGTCTACGGTCAGGGCCGTTTGCTCAGAGTGTCGGGCCGCTCGTTCTGGCCGACCACGCTTCGGCGCGGCGCGCCATCGGCTCGCAGGCCATTGCTTACCAGCCTGGAACATATCCCTATCCCTATGCTGGACACCTCCTCATCACGATGCCAATCGTAGGGATTCCCTTATTTTTTGGAGGGCGAATCCCTACGATTGTCACCGCCTTTTGGCGTGTCAATCCTAGAGATAGGGATACGTTCGAGGCTGGTAAATGGCGTGCCGCAGGGGCCGCCGCCGCGAGACGTGGAGCAGCAGTTCCTCACACCGTATGCCCCAGCAGCCGTCCTGGGACAGGCGTCCCCGTCGGCGAGCTCAGGAGGAGGAGGAGGAGGAGGAGGAGGAGGAGGAGGATGAGGAGGAGGAGGGAGGAGGAGGAGGAGGAGGAGGAAGGAGGAGGAGGAGGAGGAGGAGAGGGATGGAGGAGGAGGAGGAGAGGGATGGAGGAGGAGGAGGAGAGGGATGGAGGGAGCCTCAGGGAAACGGGCCCTTGACGCGTTCGGCCGCTGTCGGGCTCTATGCATGAGGCGCTCCGCGGGCACCGCGAAGACGGGGCTCACAGGGATGAGTCGCCAGCCCCAGCGGAAAGGCCCCCAAGCCCAGGACGCGGGGGCGGTCGAGAGCGCGTGCCGTTGCTCGCGAAGTGCCGACTCGCAATCGTCAGACACCGAAAACACCAACACACGTGTACCTCGATGTAGTGACTTGTGGATCCCCCGCTGCGGATCCAGGCCAATTTGCGAGTTGGCACTTTTTTGCGAAGTCTTCATCTCCTGCTTCTTTCAGCACTCCCTCTGGCCCCCCCCCTTTATCCGCGAACATGCCTCCGGCCATGATGCGCACCCATCCCCTCTTGGACGCCTCCGTCTCGGGACCCGCTGCCCACACGACAGAGAAGTGAGGCGGCGAGCCTCCCCCCACCCGCCGCGCGCGCGGAGGCCTCGGACGACGCCCCCGTCCGGCGGCTGCGCGACAGGCCGGAGGACGAGTCGGTGCAGAGGCCGCTGCACAAGGCCTGCGTGGCGCTGTGCTCTGCCGCTCTTCGGGCGAAGGTTTGCGAAGAGGAGGGGTGAGCTCTCGTCGCAAGGTGCCGTGGTCTTCGTCCGAGCATACCCCCCCGCCACCACGCGAGCAGCAGCCAGACACTTCTCGGGTGTGCATCCTCGTCCCTCTCTGAGGAGGAGGAAGTGGTTGACTAGGCGGAGGATAATGAAGAATAACAGTACTAAGCATGATACTAATAAGAATAAGAAGAGGACGACGGGGGAGGAGGAGGAAGAGAGGGAGAAGGAGGAGGAGGACGAGGAGAAGGAGGAGGAGGAGGAGGGGGAAAAGGGGGAGGAGGGCGGCCTCCGTCCCCGCTCGTTGCAGTTCTTGGACGCACGGAGGCATGCTGTGGCAGATCTGCCGTGAGGGAGGGGAGCACGATGCGGTCCTGCCCTCTCGGGTCGACCGGACGTCCCCCGCCCGCGTGACGGATGGAGGGCACGCTGTGGAAGCTGAACACTGGCGGCAGCCTCGAGAAGGAGGATCAGTGGATCCAGCGCGACATGTGGATCGCGCACAACCACAGCCTCTGCTACTTCAGCGTGAAGGACATCCGACCCCTTCGCATTGGGGCGTGCCTGGTGCGCTGTCTCCTTACCTGGCTTGCCACCTTCACCCCACAGACGTCGTGTCCCAAATCCAGACGCTGGTGCGTCCCAGGACCGTCCCAGGTGCACCCTTGACGCTTCGCATATCCCCAGGTGGCTTGCATTGACGAGGGAAGCATGGGAGCACGCAGTGGAGCAGCGAGGGGGAGCAGCCGGCAAACCGAAGATCAGCTTGAGCAGGCCCCCGAGTCAACCATGAATGCTTTCGCGCATCTTTCGATATGAGAGCATGTTGGCAGCATATTTGCGCCATCCTGGGGTTAGTTTGGTTGCATTTGGGTCTCTCTTGGGACCCTCTTGGGGACCTTTGGGGCGCGCTTGAGGCTATCTTGGGGGCATCATTCAAACAAAACGGGTATTGATTATGGAGAGAGCGCGTTTCACGGGCGCTTGCCTTGGGAACATTCGGCGGCGCGTTTCGAACAGGGGTCTGGGCCCCCCCCGCCAACACTCGGCGCCGTCGATCAGAACCAGGCGGACTCCCCTCCCCCTAACCCCCCTCCTTCCCGAACCCCCCCCCCCTCGGCGGCGGCGCCAGCGCCAGCGTTGACGGCCGCCAGCAGCGCCGACGGCAGGCCGCAGCGACGATGACCAGAGGCAGCCAAAGTGGGGGGGGTCCAAATCCCCCCGTTCCGCGCCGGCGCCAGCGCTGGCGGCGGCCAGCAGCGCCGACGGCGGGGACGCAGCGACGATTACCACCACTACCACCACCACCACCACTACCACCACCACCACCTCAACCCACCACCAACACCACCAAGCCACCACACAACCACCACCACCACCACCACCACAACCACCACCACCACAACTCACCACCACCACCACCAGCACAAAAACCCACCACCACTACCACCACCACCACAATCGACCACACCACCACCAACCACCACCACCGCCACCACCACCACAACCCACCACCACCAGCAGCCACCACCACCGCCACCACAACTACCACACCACCACTACCACCAACCACCACCACAACCAACCACCACCACAACCACCACCACCGCAACAAACCACCACCACCACCACAATCACCACCACCGCCACCACCACTACAACCCACCACCACCACCACAGCCACTACCACCCACACAACCACCACGACCAACCACCACACCACCACCGCCACCGCCACCACCGCCTTAACCCACCTCCGCCACAAATACCACCACCACCAGAAACCACACCACCACCACCGCCACCCACCGCACCATCACCACCACCACCACCACAACCTGCCACCACAACCACCACAACTCACCACCACCACCACACCACCACCACCACCGCCACAACCACCACCACCACCACCACCACCACCGCCACCGCCATCACAGCCCACTACCACCACCACCACCACCACCACCACCACTACCTCAGAGAGGCCCCAAACGACGCCCAAGAGGCGACCAGGAGGCTGCACAAATGCCCGTCAGAGGCCTCCGAGAGCCGCCCTCCGACGAGACCCCAAGAGGCATCCAGTAGATCTCTGACCCAACCTCAAAGCACGGTGGTGGAGCGTCGTCGTCCCGTCGTCCTCGTCGACGCTCCCCGCCGCCGCCGCTGGCGCCGGCGGTGGCCCAGAAAAAGAAGTCGTCGTCCCCGCCGCCTCCGCCAGCCGCCGCCGACGCCGGCTCTGGCCCGAGGAGAGGGTGAGAGGAGAAGTAGGAGAGGAGGGGGAGGGGAGGGGGGGGGTCCAACCCCCCCCTCCTCCAAACGACCACAGAACGCGCTCTTTGTGATTACGCCTCTCCCCGCCAGGGTCCCCAACATCACCTCCTGGGCCCTGGGCCATTTTGGGATTCTCTTGGGGCCGCCTTGAGGCCCTCTTGGGTCCTTCTTAGGGCCAGCTTGCGCGAGCTTGGAGCCGTCTCGATGCCTCACATCCCATCGGGAGCGAGCAGGCGATACGGCCAACAATCACGGCTCGTGCGTCGGATTGGCAAGGTTTTTGGTTTATCGTGCGCATCGTTGGGGGGCTCGGTAACCATTTGGAGCCGTCGTTGGTTGACCGTGGTGTTTTGGGGGCATGCTCGAAGGTACCTTGAACCATCTTGAGCTACGTTGTGCGATGCTTGGCTATCCTGGGCGTTCCAACCCCTTGCGACGCTCCCCAGCGCTCCCAATCCAGACCCTGGTGGAAAGCACCAACGCCAACTGACACATTGTTCTTAACCGTTTACCAAACATAATGCGGAGTTTGTATTGTTGTTCCCCATATCCTAAGATGGGGTTCTTGTTATTACTTGGACGCCTCCTACTCTTTCCTCTTCTTCTTATCTTCCCCTCTCCTCCTCATACCCAGACTTATTCATACACAGACTGACTCACACTCTGACTTACTCATGCCCAGACGTACTCACACTCAAAATCATTCATATTCAGACATACTCATACTCAAACCTACTCATATTCAGACTTACTGAGGCTGAGATTCACCCATACCCAGATTTACTCTACACAGCAGAGTGTGAGGATGTCTCAGGTTGGGCGCTGGTTTCAGCACCCCTAACGGGAGCCGCCGAGGAGTATGACACGGTCCCGTTCGCGGCCGTTTTGTGGGGATGTGTCAAGGTGTTTGCTTGTTTTCTGTCCCAACATCCTTCGCTGTTGGAGCAGATTTGGAGGATGTCTCGAGCGAAGCGCTCATTTTCACGCCCCTAAAGGGGGCCGCCGAGGGGTATGACACGGTCCCGTTCGCGGCCGTATTGTGGGGATGTCTCAAGCGGTTTGCTTGTTTTCTGTCCCAACATCCTTCGCTTCCGGAGCAGATTTGGAGGATGTCTCGAGCGAGGCGCTCATGTTCACGCCCCTAAAGGGGGCCGCCGAGGGGTATGACACGGTCCCGTTCGCGGCCGTATTGTGGGGATGTCTCAAGCGGTTTGCTTGTTTTCTGTCCCAGCATCCTTCGCTTCCGGAGCAGATTTGGAGGATGTCTCGAGCGAGGCGCTCATGTTCACGCCCCTAAAGGGGGCCGCCGAGGGGTATGACACGGTCCCGTTCGCGGCCGTATTGTGGGGATGTCTCAAGCGGTTTGCTTGTTTTCTGTCCCAGCATCCTTCGCTTCCGGAGCAGATTTGGAGGATGTCTCGAGCGAGGCGTTCATTTTCACCCCCCAGGTGGGCCAGATGTTGAGGATGTTTTGTTTGGTTTGCTTGTTTTGGTGGCCAGACTCGTGGGCACAGGTTCTCTTCAGGATGCCACAGGATGCTCCAGGAGGCTCCAGGAGGCCCTTGCGGACCACATGAGGTCCCAGGAGGCATGAGGAGGCCATGGAAAGACTCAAGAGGCCACAAGATGTCCCAAGAGGCTCCAGGAGGCCCCAGGAAGCTCCAGGAGGCCACAGGATGCCACAGGAGGCCCCAGGAGGCCACAGGAAGCGCCAGGAGACACCGGAAGGCAACAGGAGGCCCCGAGAGGCCCCAGGAGCAGGAGGCCTCAGAAGGCAACAGGAGTGGCTCCAATCCCATGTGTTTTACGTATGCTCCTACAGATTGGGCCTTACCTGGAGCACGAATCCTTGACGTTATACGTATGTTTCTATAGATTGTCCTTCTCTTGTGAACACAATCCTAAATGTTTTTCTTATGTTCCTATATGTTGGGCCTCTCCTGGGGCACGAGTCCTTGGTGCTTTACGTGTTTTCCTATATATTGCCCTTCTTCTGTGGCTCCAATCCGCAATGTTTTATGTACGTCGGTTGCTATAGATTGGGCTTCTCCTGGGGCACGAAGCCTCCCTGGGAGGTCCCAGGAGGCCCCTGGAGGCCTTGGAGGCCCCAGGAAGCCCCAGTAGGTTTCAGGAGGCCCCAGGAGGCCCCAGGCTCATGCGCAGAGATGCGCTAGTAGCACTGAGGCTCATTCACATTTCAATTCATTCGCACTTAGATTCAAGACCAGGCCGCCACAGCTGAAGCCCGATTATATTCGAAAGTTCTTGCGCCTAGACGTTCACGGCGGACAGGTCCATGCGAATAGATGCACATATGGGGAGCTCCACGCAGTGAATAATTGTTTTTTGTATGTCTGGCCTTAAAAGACGTGTGCGTGACCAGCACCCGTCTAAGCTCTGGACGGGTCCAGCACCCCATCATGGGGCGCCCGCGCACGGGTCCAGCTTAGGGACGGCTTGACAAGTATGGTCGGATTGTGAAGATCGGACCATCAGAGGGCACCCGCGCTGTCCTAGTGTGGCGCCAATGCAAAAGGCTCATGGGGAACCCGCGCACAGTCCAGATTGTGCAAGCCTCACGGCCGGTGCCGCCGACCAAGAAGGACGAAAACGACGACGACCACGACGACAACGACAACGACGAGCGGATGACCCTGCCACAGGCTCGGGACATTGGGCGGACGGTCGAGGAAGGAGGAGGAAAGGGAGGAGGAGGAGGAAGCAGGAGGCGAAGGAGGAGGCCGGGGAGGATGAGGGGGAGGGAGAGGGGAAAGAGGAGGAGGAAACAAAGGAGGAGGATACATATTTGGAGGAGAACGAGGAGGAGGACGAGGAAGAGAAAGAGGGGGAGGAGGAGGAGGAGGAGGAGAAGGAGGATGAAGACCAGTGTAAACCCAATAGTCATCAATGATGTTGGAATAAGCCTTCCCTCCATGCTCCTTTTTCACAGGCCCCTACAACGGTTCGATTCCACCTCGTCGGAAGATAACCGTTTGAAGATTTTGAATCATGCCATAGCATTGTCCCCAGGATTCCAACGCCACGAATCAACCTGACTGTTGCGTCTTGACAATCCGAACTTATGCCAGAACGCCATCCCTGGGGCTTCAACACCGCGAATCAACGTAAATCCTGCACCCTCACAATATTCAGCCCTTCCAGACACCATTCTTGGTACGCTGATCATGGGAACCCGTGAAACGTTGGCACATGTCCAAAACAAATGTACGCGGTGTTAAGGTGAGAGTCACATTTTGAAAACGACCCGCCCTCAATACGTGAAGTTGTTGCATATTTTGCTAAGCATGTACGCGGCGCCAAGAAGGGAAAGCCACATTTTGAAAACGATTGGCCCTCAATTGGTGAAGCTCTTTTAATCTTTCACAGAAGAAGAAAGTGCGCGGCGCTAAGGCGAAAGCCACATTTTGAAAACGACCCGCCCTCAATCCGTGAAGCGGTTGCAGATGTGTAAATCGAATATGCGCGGCGTTCAGGCGAGAGCCACGTTTTAAAATCGACCCGCCCTCAATCCGTGAAGTTTTTGCATTTGTCTACAACGAACGTGCGCGACGCTCATGCTAGTGCCACATTTTGAAAACGATCCGCCCTCAATCCATGAAGTGTTTGCAAGCTCTGACAACGAAAGTGCGCGGCGCTCAGGCGAGAGCCACATTTTGAAAACGAACCGCCCTCCATCTGTGCAATTTATTGTCAACGTTTTCAGGGTCATCAATGGTGAGGAAATATCAGGGGAAGCGCCCGGCCCGCCTTAAAATTTGGTTTCGGGGTGCGACAAGGAAAGATTACTTGTAAGGGAAAGGGATGGAGGATGAGGAAGAGGAGGAGGTGGAGGTGGGGGTGGAGGAGGAGGAGGAGGAGGAGGAGGAGGAGGAGGAGGAGGAGGAGGAGGAGGAGGAGGAGGAGGAGAGCCGTCTGTCTCCTCGGAGGCGGGCGTCTGGGAGGCGAAAACCGAAGGGGAAAGCCCCCAGCGGGGGAGGGGAACCCCCCAAGACCCTCTCCGGGACCCCCCCCGTGGACACCCCCTGGGCCCACCCCTTGGGACAACCCCAGGGGACCCCCCAGGAACCACCCCCCCCCCCTGGCGGGGAAGGGACAATGGGAAGGGGTTCCCCACCGATGAAATTGCGACATTGTGCGATCCCCCTTGTTGGTTCGATCTCCCTTACAACGACGACGATTCAGAGGAGGCTACCGTTCTTCAGTTTGAGTTGGGCTGGCCTCGGTCGGCGGTTTTTCCGCATTGCCACTTTGCCAATTGGATGGCGGGTGGGGTGCTCGCGTGGTCCTGGGTTTGTCTGCCGTCGAGTGGGGGAGGGGGTGCATAGAAATGAGGGAAAGTGATAAACCGTTCCCCGAAATCGAAGAAGGATCGATTGGAATCAGTCATTCCCTAAACCAGCTGCGACAGGAGAGCTGGTGGGATTCTCTGCGTGCCTGCTCGAGCGTGATGCTCCCCACGTGCAGATAATGATCCGTCTCAGAACAAACCCAAGTGTATTCTGTAACGCGGCCTCAGGCTTGGCCCCACACGCGACCCGCACGTCACTGGGCACGGCCTCGGGCGCGTTCCCGGACACTGCCCCAGGGAACGTCACCAAGCGTGCGGACGCAGTCAAGTCTCCAGGTACGTCGCCGACTTCTCTAGTCGCGTCCCTGGGCGCGTCCCCGACACGGAGGGACGGCCCGGCCCGCGACCTCCGGGCACTCCCCGTTCGGCCGATGCGCCGCTGCCGTGGGAGGGGTCCCCAGGTCTGGCGTGCTTCGTGGACGGGGGTCCCTCCCCTGGTGGACGTTCTCGATCCCCCCCTGTCGCATGTCCGAGGCGGGGATTCATCCATGACCGCCCAGTGGATCGATGATCGGGGGCTTTGGCAAGCGGCGGATATGGATATGTATGTTTCGGGCCCAGGGTTGGCGGTTTCATGTGCGTGTATATATATATATATATATGTTTATATATGTATGTATATACACATATGTAAGGACGTTGATTCCCCAGGCCTTGGATATAGATGATTCCGTGCCTCGCAGCCTGGCGTCCCCTGACCTGTCCCTTCTCGTCTCCCTTTGCTTTCCCCCCAGGGGCCCCACGGCGGGAGCTGACTTGACGGGAGGTTCGATAGATGGGACGGCGGCGTGGTCACAGATGGCCCGTGTCCACTGCAGTGTGTCCTAGCGGGTCATCCGCAGGGTCTCGGAGTCCTGCCCATGGATGCAATGTCTTGGCACAGACTTGGCGGCGGCGCCCTCGTTTCACTGCGTAGCGTGCAGCTTCACACTCCTCGTCCACCGCTATCACTGGGGCCCTGGTAGACAGTGTAGACGTGCAGCCCTTGGCATGGTATTGCTTGCAACGTTCCCTTTCGGCAAGATGATCGAATTTGCTTGAGGCTGTCCACCAGTCATCCGCATCCAGATCCGGAGATCGCGGTTTCTGTTTCGCCCAAGGCCAGCCTCGGCGACGCTCCAACAGCGTTTCTGTCTGCGGACAGGGAGGTGGGGAGGCTTGCGGAGGAGCCCGCGGTGGGTGGAGCGATGCATCATGGGTGTATGCAGCGCGTGCTCGTGATGACTGCTTGCTGCAGGTGTTCTCCCCTCGGGCGCCAGGGCGCACCGTCTTCCGACCTCCGAGCTGTCCGCGGGTCTGCGCCGTGTTGCAGCTTCGGCGGCCCCGAGCGTCGGGATGCGTCCGGGTGGCGTTCAGGCCGAGGGCGGCGCCTTGCGAGTTGACGATGAGCTGCGAACTGAAGGAGAGGCTATGCGGATCCCGTGCAGCGTCGCTCAGACCAAAGGTGTATGTATTAGACATGCGTAGCCATCTAGCATCTAGCCGCTTCTGCGACCCGCCGCGTTGCTGCGAGCGTGGCCGCGACGCCAAAAGTGTGTGCACATGGGTGTGGCTGATGCGCTGGTGTCTACACATGGGTTGTTTTGCACAGTGCGCACATGCACTGAGATCCGTCGTTGCGAAATCATTGAAACATGTCGGCAAATCACGACTGGAGCCCCAGACCAATTTTTGTTGCCGCATTTTTCGAGCCGGATCGATCTGTAATGGCCCTGGGGCCTAAATCCGAGCGAAAACGCCCGGCTTGAAACACTTGCAACGCCCGGGTCTCAGGGTGGGTGTGGGTGAAGCGGGGCGGAAGCACCTCGTGCGCAGGGGTGTGCACCCGGCGCTTCCGCCCCGCTCTGTTGTACAGTTCCTTCCTCCCCTGCCCTGCGTGTGCTTCTCGCCGTTCCCGCTTGTGTTGCTGCTCCCGTGCCGCGATCTTGCCGGCACGCTCCACGTCCGTCTTTTTTGTGCTGGCCGGTGAGCTCTGGACGAGGAATAACAAATACCGATACCGATCGATACCTTTGCCTCGTTTCGTTTGGGCCTCCCAGGAGGCCCTCGTCGCCACCGCTGGATTTGCCTGGGGATTCTGGTCCGAACGCACGCTTGGAGAGGTCCAGGGAGTAGCGGTATCGGTATCTTTTTGCAAAGCAAGGACGGGCAATTTTCCCAAGGGTACCCTTGCATCCTTGCATCTTCGGTGCATCCTTGGCCACGTTCGTTGGCCGCGCCCCGCTCGAAAACTTCGAAATGGGCTTCCAAGGGCCTTGCATCCTTATCGCGCATCCTCACCATACGGGCTGGCTGTATTCCATTCCACCATGCACTCGCCTTCACGGAACCCCCGGTCGCTGGGACGTGGCCTGACGGCCAACGACCCATTCTGATGTGGTTCCACGCACTGGGATTGTCATATCGAAGCACGGGTCCTCTCCCATGGTCTGACAGGTTCCAAGGCGACTCGCGGTAATGGCGAGTGGTGCGATGGAGGCAGGGTTTTCTCAAGCATGGTTCCAGGTTGTGCGGTGTCACGGCGGCAGGGGGTCGCGTGCTCGGCAGGAGCTGGCCGATTCGGTGAGGGCCCTCCCGGCCGACAGGAGGAGAAGCGCCTGGTGCTCATCGACGCCGTCAAGCTGAGCACCGCCGACATCGTCGAGGTCGTCACCTGCGGCGCTGCCGGAGGGGCCTAGCCTCCAAGGATGGGCGACATGCCTTCTCTCAAGCGGAAGGCTGGCCGGAGCCAGCGGAAGCAAAGCGAAGGCGATTGCACCGTCGAAAACCAATGGAAGCTTGCCGCAAGCCGTCGAGAACAACAGATCCCCCCTCCGAGAGATGACAGCTTTTTGGAGTCAGGGCCACATCTAGAGACGAGCGTGCACAGGAAACAGTGGACGCGTAGGCGTACGACAGTCACACTTTACAGGCCCAAGTACGCAGCAACTTCAGAGTCTTGTCCTGGATTTCGAATGCGTAGTTCATTTCGAGCCGTTCGCCACGATGCATCTTGCCCCGCCAGAGGCACCTGGGTCTATAGAGTCTTAGAGCATAATTTCCTTGCCTGAGTAGGGCCCCCATGTTCAACCGTGCTTACGGGACTCTTGGCATTGCTATGCGAGCTTCCGTTCTGAATGTATTGTGTTCCGAGTCATTCGCGACATAGGTATTACCATACCAATGGTTGTTTAAGTAAAGATCTTGCAATGGGAGGGCCAGATGTCCGCAGTACGCGGTGCCAAACCTCCCTACTCTTCCACGTCCAGCTCATCCTACTCATTCTCCTCATGGTCCTGCTGCTTCTCCTTGGATGGAGGCACTGGCAACTCGCATCAGGCAACGCGAGGAGGCTGCCGCTGCTGCGAGATTAGTGTAGCTTCGTGGTGGCTGGTGGCGTAAGTGGTAACAGCGCCACCAGTACACAGTACACCCCCGATGCCACATTCTGACTTGGAGCATCCGATGTATCCTGCTGGGTCTCAAACGCCTCCTCCCTTGGATGAATGAGTCATGTGAGCCACACATCATATCGTATTCCAAGCTTTGCATTAGATGGCAGACAGGCCAAGCATCGTCTAGGTGTTTCCCCACATCTAAATACTGGGTTGATTCCTTCATTAATTTCTTTGTCGCTTCTTGTGCTCCTTACCGCACAACCTCGTCCCTCTCCTCATCCTCTTCCTCCGTTCCCCTCGTCATGTGCCGTTCAAGCGAAATCATGCGCCTTTTTTGGTTTCTGGGCAGCAGTGAAGCTTCCGTAGAGCACCGGGCTGGATGAGGAGAAGGACGACGGCGACGTGGAGGCGGGAGAAGACCTTGTGAACCATGCTCGGTGAAGCCAAATGTTTTGTTTGCACAGGGACAGCATTCGATCTACAAGAAGTCAGAGCCAAAGCCCGCCAGGGAATTTCGGACCCGTTGGGTAGAGTGGATCCGTTTGGGAGAGGCCTCTTGGGAATTCGTATTGTCGGTCGTGCTCCAGCTGCGCAGACCGTGCCGTTTCTCATCTCCGATGTGCCAGTCGTTCACGACAGTCGCATTCTGATCCTCGATTCACCACGTGTGGAACTGCGTGAACCCAGGTGCCCGTGCGGGTTGCAGCGAACCCCCTTTGTCGCGTGGCGTTTCGGAGTTCCGCGCATGCTTTAGGGCGTATCTCCTGGGGGGGTGAATTCTGCATCTGCGCTGGTACGTCCGCCACAGATTACTCTTACTTGCGATGGCATCCCAGGAGTTGCCTCCTGCCGTGCTGGCCAGAGTGCGACCACCGCGATCTCGGTGCGGGGAGCAGCTCCTGCGAGGCCTGCGCCAGAGAGCCGGCCCGAGACAGCTGCCAAGAGCTTTCGGCGGGCTGCGCCCTTGGGATGCAGCTCCCCCCGGGGCGGCGCCCTGGCCGCGGGGAGGGGTCCTCCAGTGCCAAGAGCCCTCCAGGCTCGATCCGCACTCAGGACCGGGACTCGTTCTCGGTACGGGCGCGCCGCGCCTGCGGCGTGCGAGTCGAGATTTTCGGCAAAGGCTGCTGCCCGTCTCGGTGCTTTTTGCACCTGCCTTGGGCGTTCTTTTCTACCGGTTTGCACACTGCGCTCGTGACAAGCCATAAAAAACACGCGACGCATGCTTCACGTTTTTGGCCAGTTGTTGTTGTTGTTGTTGTTGCTGCTGCTGCTGCTGCTGCTGCTGCTGTTGTTGTTGTTGTTGTTGTTGGTTTTGTTCCCAACCATCCTGTGGTGTTGGGTCCTCGTTTTGAAGAGACGGTGGCCCGCGTCTCCCCTCCTCTCCTCCTCTGCCCCCTCCTCCTCCCTCCTCCCCCTCTTCCTTGCGTTTCACCCACCCAGTACAACGTTTCGTGGCCCCATAGGGAGCTCCACCGAAGGCCCCCAGTGGCTGCGTTCGCATGGCAGCCTCGGGCCATTTCGGCACACCCATCACGAGGATCGTGGCCCCATAGGGAGCTCCACCGAAGGCTCCAGTGGCTGCGTTCGCATGGCAGCCTCGGGCCATTTCGGCACACCCCTCACGAGGATCGTGGCCCCATAGGGAGCTCCACCGAAGGCCCCCAGTGGCTGCGTTCGCATGGCGGCCTCGGGCCATTTCGGCACACCCCTCACGAGGATCGTGGCCCCATAGGGAGCTCCACCGAAGGCCCCAGTGGCTGCGTTCGCATGGCGGCCTCGGGCCATTTCGGCACACCCCGCACGAGGATCGTGGCCCCATAGGGAGCTCCACCGAAGGCCCCAGTGGCAGCGTTCGCATGGCGGCCTCGGGCCATTTCGGCACACCCCTCACGAGGATCGTGGCCCCATAGGGAGCTCCACCGAAGGCTCCAGTGGCTGCGTTCGCATGGCGGCCTCGGGCCATTTCGGCATACTCAGTACGGCGTTTCGTGGCCCCATAGGGAGCTCCACCGAAGGCTCCAGTGGCTGCGTTCGCATGGTGGCCTCGGGCCATTTCGGCACACCCCTCACGAGGATCGTGGCCCCATAGGGAGCTCCACGGAAGGCTCCAGTGGCTGCGTTCGCATGGTGGCCTCGGGCCATTTCGGCACACCCCTCACGAGGATCGTGGCCCCATAGGGAGCTCCACCGAAGGCGCCAGTGGCAGCGTTCGCATGGCGGCCTCGGGCCATTTCGGCACACCCCTCACGAGGATCGTGGCCCCATAGGGAGCTCCACCGAAGGCTCCAGTGGCTGCGTTCGCATGGTGGCCTCGGGCCATTTCGGCACACCCCTCACGAGGATCGTGGCCCCATAGGGAGCTCCACCGAAGGCTCCAGTGGCTGCGTTCGCATGGTGGCCTCGGGCCATTTCGGCACACCCAGTACAGCATTTCGTGGCCCCATAGGGAGCTCCACCGAAGGCTCCAGTGGCTGCGTTCGCATGGCGGCCTCGGGCCATTTCGGCACACCCCTCACGAGGATCGTGGCCCCATAGGGAGCTTCACCGAAGGCCCAATTGGCAGCGTTCGCATGGCGGCCTCGGGCCATTTCGGCACACCCCTCACGAGGATCGTGGCCTCCACCGAAGGTGCCAGTGGCAGGGTTCGCATGGCGGCCTCGGGCCATTTCGGCACACCCCTCACGAAGATCGTGGCCCCATACGGAGCTCCACCGAAGGCGCCAGTGGCAGGGTTCGCATGGCGGCTCGGGCCATTTCGGCACACCCCTCACGAGGATCGTGGCCCCATAGGAGCTCCACCGAAGGCTCCAGTGGCTGCGTTCGCATGGCGGCCTCGGGCCATTTCGGCACACCCCTCACGAGGATCGTGGCCCCATAGGAGCTCCACCGAAGGCCCCAGTGGCAGCCTCCCTTATGGCTCTTAGAGCCCTCTCCTGCTTCTGCTCCTCGGTCAGGGGGGGCGCCGTCCTCGTCGTCGTCGGCGCCTGCGAAGACGGCCACAAACGTGTCCCTGAGCATGTCGGGCTCCGGCGGGAAGTTGTGGCCACATCGGGAGCGTGGGCGAAGATGTTATTCACAATTGCGGTAGTCACAACTGCGTATGGTTGGGTCTTTCGCCAGGCTAATTGTTTGTGTTGTGTTTGTTGTTGTTGTTGTTGCTGTTGCTGTTGCTGTTGCTGTTGCTGTTGCTGTTGCTGTTGCTGTTGCTGTTGCTGTTGTTGTTGTTGGTGTTGTTGTTGTTGAACATTATTAATTCTAAAGAATAATTATTGTTGGGCCCCCTGGTGCACGCCCCCCCCCCGCGCCTAGGCCGCAGCCACATTTTCATAATTTTCGTGAGGAAGTCTCAAGTAAAACGATGTCATCCAGATCCGGTTGTTTTGTTGACGCCCGCTTTCCCTGTCAAAAAACACTATAAAATGACATGTCTTGTTCTAACATAACCAAACTTCAAGAATACTTTGCAAAAAATGGCACGAAGTGCACACTCGCGCGCGCAAGATGAAATCCTTCCAAAACCTTAGTTTTCGTAGCGATTTTAACATAAAAACATGAAAAACCCAATGTTTTTCAAAAAAAAGTTTCAAAAAATCATCTTGCGCGCTCTTGCGGATTTCTAAGGAAACCCAATATTATTTCAACATTTCTGTCAAACGGGTTCTTGCGAACAACTTTTTCACGTGCTTCGAACTTCTGCAACAACGGTTGCGCGCATGCCAGGGCCATCATCCCTGTCAAATAATACCATATTGGACACATTCGTTTTTTCTTCGCGCGCGCACGCCGTCGTCGTCGGCCGCGGGGCCCTGAATAGTAGCCACGGTCGTCCGCATGCCACGAAGTGAAGTGTCCGAACGTCATAGGGCGGGAAGCTGGGTGTGGGTGGTGGCGAAGAGTCGTTTGGAAATTTGGTAGAGCTTGAACCGGCCCCCCCACAAAGTGGGGGTATTGCCCGCCTCCTATGAAAACCCTGGCACTGGTGAGAACGGAGTGTCCCCACGTGCTAGTAATTGTTGTTGTTGTTGTTGTTGTTGTTGTTGTTGTTGTTGTTGTTGTTGTTGTTGAATGAGGACGATTAGACCGGCCCGGGGGGACCCCAGCAACCCCAGCAACCCCAGCAACCCCAGCAACCCTTCCGCGGCCGCGGAAGGGGTCCTGGTAGGATCCCATAGGATTCCTGAGGGATCCCTATCGGATTCCTCAGGGATCCCATAGGATTCCTTAGGGATCCCATAGGTTTCCTATACGATTCCTATAGGATTCCTTAG